TCTGTACTTATTCTCAAGAGGATGACAGATTAATACCAGATCGTAACCTGCATATACAAAATATCAAATTTTAGATTTTTATCTGCACCACTAAACCTTCTTAGTCCTCGCCAACTTGGTAAAATAATAGGATGTGGTTTAATGGGTGGTGGAGATTAAAAATATTTATAGATGTGTGTGTGTCTGGATTACGCTCAGACATTAATTAGTCAATCCACTGGTCGCCTGACGCATCCGTGAGTTGCGGATAAGGAAATGACCGGCAGGTATAGATGTTAGCCTCTACGAATAGACAATCGCGGACAGGCAGTGGTGAGACTAACTCGATGAATTCGATCCGCAGAGAAAAAGTCAGTCTCCAATGACAATCTAATATCGAGGCGAAAGTGATCCGCCTATTTGACGAAAAAAGACCGCCAATGTCACCGCTGCCTTGCGTTAGGCGTCGGATCTCGAGGGTTGTAAGAAACAACTTCGATAAACAACGAAACGTAATTGAGGGACAGTTATACAAGAAGTCCCGAGGGTTACCATAAACCTTCAAGTAGATAGCAAAACCTCATTGCGCTATGGCAACACCAATAACTGGGCATCAGTATCCTGCACGCCTCTCGACTCTTCGCATGGCGACGATTCGGAATTCGACTGACAATAGACTGGTAGGAATCCGAGATGAAAAGCCGCCATCTGGTAAACAGACACAGACATTCCTCGCCGTTTTCATCTACGACAATAGAACATTGGTGAAGGAAGAAACATTAAACCGATTAAAGGAGGAAAGTTCACGGATGACCTGCGACATTCTTGGCCTCTACGAGACACAACCGCGGAAGGAGATGAATGGCATCTGGAAAGACTGTAGTGGAAAAACCGATTTGGATAGGAAGTGGAAAGGGGGTGAAGAAGGAACAGGACGAATCAGATTTGCATTCAGCAAAAGCTAGTCTCCCAAAACCACCTCCTGCCACGTGAAGTCACCTAGACAGAGCTGGCTGCGACTTTGACCAAACAAAAGCAGATATTAATGATCGTCCAAACGTATCCTATTACAAGTACAGCTGATGAGGAAGAAGTGGAAGAATTCTTTCCAAAACTGGAATGCACTGGTCCTTAACTACTCGTATAATCTCGTCATGGGCCAATTCAGTGCGAGCATCGGCCAAGGAAGGTCCGGGCACAGTAATTGAGGCACAGTAAAACAGAATGAGTTACGAAATTGGCTGGTGACCATGGCAGAAACTAAGCACATGCAAATTGCTGCACCCATTTCAAGAAAACTAACGGGAGGTATACGTGAATCAGTCCCACGTGGCGACAAAAAACGAGACTCACTTCGCCCCCTTCCATATTTGCCGCATCACATGGGACGTAGGAGTGCCATCATGGACCACAAACAGTGAACACAGACGTCAATGAGAAGATGGAAAAGAAATCGCTGTAAATAGTTATAATTTACTATACGGTAAAGGTATTAGACGAGGCAGTGCTCCAAGACCAGCAAATTCGGGCGTTTGAAAGGCAGTTGCGATTACTACGTTCGCCGAGAAACTGAGGCGCTGCGTAAAGTCAGATGAGGTCGTAGCAGCAGAAAACAGCGAAAGACCACAGAGGTCTCAGACAATGCAGGGAAGAGTTAGCGTTTTTGCGATGTATCACCAAAGCATCAAAGAATGAGGATGGCGCATTTACATCTCGTCTCACAGAGCTCAGACGCAGTCCACCTGTAAGAACTTAAGCACTCAGCATTTTGCTTCAATAGCACTCATCCTCCTACCATCACTCCAACATAAGCGAAATTCGACATTCCTCGCAGCACACAAAGCAGGGAGGAGCCCCAGGAAGGAATGGTTCAAAAATTGAAATGACCATAGCTAGTGTCAGGGGATGTGGAGCGCTGTAACTGTGAGGTACAGTTGCTACTCAGAAACGGAAAAGATACCATCAAGGCGGAATAAGTCAAAAACAGTTGGGCTTTTCAGGAACGGCGAGAAGGAAAATTTGAAGAGCTATCGCCTGATGTAACTGTTCATAAAAGTCTACAAGCTGTTCTCCAAGATCATCACTAACAGATTTTCAACAAGTGTGGACGAAGAGCCGCAAACGGAACAGCGGTGATTTCGAAGGAGTTACAGCACAACGGATATCATCGTTAACATAAGCTGACTCTTCGAGCGCGCCATTGAATTTCAGCTACTTTTTTGCATAGCCTTCGTCGACTGCGCAAAAGAGCTGTCGACGAAGGCAATGAGGACTGTAGTGACAGAATGAAGCATAGACACCCGTTCCATTAGCCTACTTAAGGAAGCGAACTCTGGCACTTCATAACGCAATTCCGTTTGATGCTCCCTACAGATTCCCCAAAATGTCCCTTAGGGACACAATCTCTCCAAAGATCTTCACTGCATGTTTGGAAGGATGAATTACATGGATATGATTAACTTCAGTGGTGAACAGCTCCGCCATCTGCTTGATTTTGGCCTACTGTTGTTTCTGGCAAGCGCCAATCAACGCGAAGACATGCTGTAAAAGTTCGAGAAAAGCAATGCAGAAAATGCTGCAGTCCCAGGAACAGCCAAATGATGAAAACGTTAAATACCTAAAAGATCGAAAAAGTCGATAATTACATTTTTCTGGGGCATGAAATCAATATGCAGCAGAAATTCAACGAAGCAACACGACTGACTTGCGCGTGCCCCATGTTTCATTCTTCAAGGACGTCGTCCAAGGCTATATCAGGAAAGAAGGAAAGAAACCGCTGTGTACCCCATCAGTTCTATCGCTCTGCCGGCATTGTTCAATGG